TTCTTCTCTTCATTGTGAGCACACCTGGGTTATAGTGCCCAAAGGGGAGCTATGAAATAAGAGTCGTTGTATAGGAGGAATGGTTTTCATGTGGACCCTTTGTACCTAACATCTCACATTTCGAACTCCTAAAGGTGTTGCCTATTATGAAGAAACTGTATCCACTTTTAAAGGTTCCATTCTATATTTAAAGTTCACTATTACATGTGAAAACGCCAACAGATGGCTTCCAAGCCTTGAATTTCTTGAATATTCACATTGTTATACTTTTAATGTGCATTGCTTAAGAGCTTGATTGTTTTATACCTCAAAACCCTCTTACAGTTCCTATCTCATTAAGACTTCTGTCTTAAAATGTTCTGACTCATCAGCTGTTTAATTCATTTGGCTACAAAAAATGAAAATGAAAAGTCTGTTAACAGTGTTCCATGTGCAACCTGGGTAGGTCTGTATATGTATGGAGTCACTAGATATTTTCGAAGACTGTATAAGCAGTACAAAAATAAAATGGAGTTCGGAATATTTTCTATCCATCCATCTCACAAAAGCTGGAACGTGCTGCAGACCGTTTTTCACAACCGATTCTTTGCTTTAAAATAAATAGTGAACATTTTTGTGTTCACGCAAACATATCTGAAACATGCAGTTTTGGTTTTTGCTGCAGCACCAATGAGTTTTGCTTGCTTATTCTTTGGCAAAAGCACACAACGGTTATTTTAAATGTATTTATTTCTTTTTAAAGGACATTTGAAATAAATAAACCCTTGGTCTACCAACAAAGCATTGGTATTGTTCAGCTGCTGCCCTCTTTTGGGATAGCAATTACCTTTCACAATTGCTTAAAACTGATCTATCACACTGGAAAGGGGAAAACCTAAAATCTGAATACAGCCTTTTTATCATCACTGCTAAACTGAATGAAATCATTGGACGGTCAATGAAAGACTAATACTGATGGCCTTCATGCCCAGCGATCAAAGTATTACATCATCAGTTAATATGATGAGGCCATCGTGAATCATTCACCGGAAAGCTGAACAATCGTCCAAACATAACAGCATTTAGCTGGCACATATCCACACAGACATGAGACGTACTGTGGGAGCCGGCGGTTGGATGATCTTTGACCTGACTCAGTCTGCCTCCTCGACAAAGGAACCCTTGAGATGCCCATTACTGTTAGTAAAAAGAGAAAATACATTTATGATGAGTAATCTTGGGCTTGAAGTTAAATGTGGGTTCCCTTGTTTTTAAAATTCTATAGAAAGTTAAGAGACTAAATTCAAAAGTAGAAAATAAGAGTAAGTGCCTGCGGAGTGTGAAGAGTCACCATAAGGACACGGTCATTACATTTGGATTTATTGTTTGCTGCCTTGCAATGATTACTTTATAAAGATGGATGGAATACAGCTCCCAGCAATTGTAATTTATGGCCAGCTTACAATTAGACCATGTACACAGGATGTGCCCTCACATTTACACTGTCAAGAGTTCAGGCTTTGTGACAACAGCGGTACTTTTCTTTGTGGCAATGTATCTATGCACGGGCGTGAAAGGGTTGATTGTGTGCAAAGTGCTGCCGTGAGGAATTCCTGGCTTAAACAAAACAAACTTAAATAAGAGCTGTCTGGTCCAGAAGAACCCTAAATCATACTGAAAGGAATGGCATGTTGTGAAACATGCCTGCATGCCATGTTAGCTCTAAGAGAGGCTGGCTTGGAGGAGAATTTGAAGCTTTTTCTTCAATGAGGAGCTTGAATGAAATGACTACCTCTGTGGAACTTAATGGCTGTTTCTTTGCAGACTATGCAGACTATCAAGTTTTATCACTCTAGTGCAGCTGATTGAGTCACTTAAAGTAATAGGCTATGCCAGTCTCTACCAGCAAACCTGTTTTTGAATCGGTGTCATGACTGTCATATTTTTGAATGAAGTCACCTTCTGTTTTCGCCACTTGACCTTAAGTGACAGTATAGAAATATAAATGAGCACTGAATAGGAAAAATAAACCCAAGCATGTCCTCAAAAAATAATAGAGCAGATGGCCTTACAATGTAGTGGGATGGGGGTATGATGTGCATCTCAAGCATGTGAAACTGGCTCCATTTGCCTCAATTACCATGTTTTGATGGATGATACAGTGTCATCCAAGTGCACTTAGCCAGACTGGAGCTTAGCCTATTCCTTGGAGGGGCTTCCTAGGAGTATCCTTTAGAGGTTTGGGAATAGTGATGTAACCCTAGAGAGACAGTGGAAGTGATGCTGCTGTGAAAGAGAGAAGGGAATCACAGGAGCGGAAGTGGACGTCTTGGAGATAAGCCTGCTTCTCCTTGCTGGGTTAATGGATACATCCCAAAGGCTAGCTTAGGAATGGACTCAGGCATCGCTGTGACTTGGTGTCATCGATCTTGTGTTCCCTGAGGGGAAATAAAGAAGAAAAATAGCATTATAATCACCTATTTTTTTCTTCACATTCCCTTTGCTTATAAATGTCTCCACTTTATGTGTGACAATACATCTTTGTGTCAAACAGAACTGATATTTATTGTTATTTTACTGCTAGATGCTGGTATACAGCATCTATCGCTAATCTATTTGCATTGTTGTTTTTGAAAAGCCAAAGCAATCAATAGAGATCCACTGATAAATTGACTGGTGACTAAAGCTGGAGTTTTTATATGCTAAATTATTGGTTTCCAAATGGGCAAATATTTGTTGGTTGTGGTTAGCTGAAAACTAAAAATTACGTGTTTTTTTTTTTTTTTTTTTAAATCAACAAAGGGATTATGCCTACCTGCTAACATACCACTCTTTTGTACGGACGTTGTTGCAAAGCGCTGAATGTGATAAATGCTTTGTTTCAGTATCGCTGTGGTATTTAAAATGAAGTCAAAGAAGGCAGAAGGACAGAAGGAAGATTATAGAAAGAAAATTGCCTTTTTGCAGAAAATTAAGCAAACAAAAATGACATGACAGCATAACTGGAAATAATTACCTTTTATAAGTATTCAGTTCTATGTCAGGCCACATGCTGGGGTATCTTATGATGCATTTTCTTCTTAAAATAGAATATGTAATCTGAAAAGAAAAGCTACACATAGAGATTAGAGATTAAAGCATAATACCTGACTAATCATATTTGAGTATTTAATCTAATTGTGTTTCACTTAAGCATATTAGTAAAATGGTTATTAATCACTGAAGGGATAAGACAGTATAAAAAGCAGGTGGTCCTTTTTTTTTCTTAAGTTCAGCTTAATAAATATTTTGTCTTTGTAACCTGAAAGGAAATGTATATCCTCAATAAATTATTTGCTTGTTTGCATCAGAAAAGATAACCTGAGGAAAATGAATATAAAGCTGTTTTCAAGTGATGATTTTATTTACTATGGAAATGATGCTATCCAAACCATCTTGGCCCTAAGTAAAAAGTAATTGGCCCATAAACCTAATAACTGGTTGTGTCATGCTTGGTGGCAATAGCTGACATTTAGCTTTTGAAATAACTGGTAATCAGCCTTGTACTCACCGTGGAGGTATTTTTGTAGCATTAGTTCAGGTCCATTTGAAGTTTTTTTTTTTTTTTTTTTAACATAACCAGGCAGTTTGAGGTCATGCCACAGCTTCTGAATTCAATTTATGTGGAGACTTTGACTAGGCCATTTCAAGTTCTTACATTTCAGCTAGTAATCACTATGCAATAAGGCACTGATTTGGATCATTGCCTTAGTTCATAAACTACGTTCCCTTGTGCTTAATATCACAAAGCAAATGCTATGCACTTTACAATTTCTTGCAGGATTTTCTGGAGCAGAATTCATTACTCCATCAATTCTGACAAGTTATCCAATATCCAGATTATCATATTGGATATTGCACATTATAGAACATTGTTTGAATTTAGAGATCACATTCTTTTTTTGGAACTTTAACCCGGATGTAATGAATGTCACCTTCCAAATGTCCTCCTTTACTCCCCATAGTAGACATTATATTTAACTATACTTTTCTTACTCATGGAAATTATCACTTGTATTTACTGAGGATATATCTTATTTTGAAATTTGTTTGATGACGTGAAACATTTGTCTGAAAATAAATAAATAAATGTAAGGGTACAAGTGCTTCTTCTTGGCATTATACCAAAATGTGGAATCAATACTGTGTTAAAGCAGTGTTAAAGCACTGGCTTTAGTTCAAAAGTTCATAATTCTTTGTTTTTGAGTCCTGTTTACATGGTCGTTTAAAGCTGGGTGGCTCTAGGTTTTCGGGGCCAGTGAGCAGAATGCTGTCAGTCCTAACTAGTGCAGTTGGGAATTTTTGGTGTTGATCTTTGCTCCCACTAACCTCTCACTTTTATCCTGGCTTGACCTCTGCTTCTCAGACGTGTCTATGACATGAACCTCCCCCTGCAATTCCATGCATAACATTAGACTGAGTTAATGCTGTAAACTTGACAAAGCCAGTTGAATTTTTTCTTTATTATTATTATCATTATCTAGCATGCCATCTCACTGACTTGGCTTCTCAATGAACACTGATTGGATCTCAGGAAAATCTGTTTCCTGGTTGCGTCACACCTGTTATTTCTAATTAAAAATGCCACGTTGATATGTTTTGTGCTGTTGCAACAAATAGGAAGGTGACTTTCCTTTGAGCAGCTCTTGTGGCATGTCTTGGTCTTGCCTTTCTTTTTCCTCAGAGAAGGAATGTTTTGGGTGGAGTTGCTATTGCAGGCGTTATGGGAAGTGCAAGCCACTGAGGGTCATTTCCTTTCGTCTTACCTTCTCCTCTGGCCTCACATCTGTATTGTACTTCCCTGCATATATTGCCACAGAAAATCTATCACCTTGTTACTGAAATCCACATGGATGCTGTCATATGCTAGGGCTGGAATCCAGAAAGGGAGGGATGAGCAATCAAAAGAGGGAGAGGGTGGGGGAGAGTTGGAGAGGACAGTGTCAACAGCTTCGCTTTGCTTTGAGCTCAGTCAGCTGAAATCCACGGCTCGACTCAGAAGCTCGAAACGCAAGTGGATGAAACACAAGAACCCCTTTAAAACTAAGTCCAGACATGGAATCTGAACGAAATGATCTGAATCCAGAAGATGCAGGAGTAATTTGAATCTGTATGGTAAACTAACTTTGCGGGGTGGTTTTCTTTCTTGAGTCATAAGCAAAGAAAAGAAAATGCATCCCTTAGTGCAACGTCTGTGAACTGAGTAAGTAGGACTTATTTGATTTTTGATGCCTTTAACTTTTCCTGGCCATAGAGCAAAGAAAGCTTTGTTCTCTCTTGAATACAAGCTGTTTAATGCGGTTTGTTCCTGCATTTTGTGCTTTTGCTCTGTCCCACCGGGGAAAACCGAACTGCTGCTGACTATAAAATAAACAGTTAGATGGTCTGCAGAACTGTAGCATCAGGGCAACAAAGCGCTTCTGTTCCTCCATGATAAACATTCTACGTTTTACGTTGTTGTGACCTGTGGGGACGCTTTAGGTCAAAAACAACAATGAAGGCATGGATGTGAAGTGTGTTCTTTCAATGTTTGAGCTCTTTATTCTGCAGTGTTGACAGCACTTTCTGTCGGATTCCCAAATCTACTGGTGCAGACTGGTGATACACTGGAGTTTATTTTTAGATATACTTCCTAGAAGTTTTACTCCAGGAAAAGTAATTTTCTCAGAATTTTGCAAATGTTCATTAATCTGCTTGTTTTTTTTTTTTCTCTCGGTGTTAATCTTGTAAGGAGTTGGAACAGATTGATGCTGAAATTGTTGAAGGCATTCAAAAGATCAGCAAATTGTTCAGCATGTCAAAAACCAACAGAGAATGAAATGTGTCGTGTGATGGGGAAGGCCTATTTCAGGCATCCATCTGTAGCTCATTGCACATCAATCACATGGTCAAAGCCTTTGGTGCTGGTTGACAGCTCAGCATTCAGCCTTGCAGCCAGGCTCCATATAACCTGAAAGGACTGAACATATTTGCATCATCGTCTGTACAAGGCAAGGGTTAGTGTGGGATTTACACACTATACATTAAAACCTTTTCATAGATGGAATGTTTCTATCTCATTTTGGCGTTAACACAAAGACCTAAAACTAAAAAATTAAAACAGAAGACACAAATATTCCAACTAGTTTAAGATATAGTATATAGTATCGGTTAACATTGTTATGTTCATTTGATGCATAGATTTGAGCAAAACGGAGACAGAATTGAGTTAAGGTTTAAGTAAACGTTCTGTTTTTCCACCTTTTTATACCGTAACATAAGTTATAAGATGATATAAGTTGGATATTTATGTGCAATCAATGCAACCCTGTAGTTTATTTTTCATCAGCCCATATTGGCAAAATTTGTTTGGTGCTATGGCGGTCATCATTCATCAGCTTCTGATAAAACTCTCCAGTGTCGGCTCCATCCTTCCAAAATGTGATTAAAGATGCCAGTTAATGTACTCCAAATGACATGACAACATGGTGCTCCTTATTTACATTCACCTTAAAACAATGATCTCATAGTCCAGTTCCCTGGGGGAGTTGTCCTGCATCTTGTGCATGTACATGCCTGCTTCAAATAGTTGGGTTCTTCGCGAGATGCTCTCACACTGAAGAAGACATTAAATAATTTTAACTTAGGTCCTTTGAACCAGTATTGCATTTACAGAGTGCATGACACCAGACCGAAGGGATGGAGTTTTAGACCCCACACCTAGTCCTGATTAGAACACTGAAAGAACCCTGCACCAGTGTTTTCGGGTATGTTTGCAATACGAGAACAACATCTTTACCCATTTCCATTCCAAGTAAATGTACCTCCCTTTACATTCACATTAACAATGTTAAAATATTCAGCTGGAGGTTTTGCTTTGATATCATAAGAACCAATGCCGTCGCTGCATTGTCAGCAACCATTGGGATATTTCATCATTTATCACGTACTTCTGATCTGTCGGGATTAGAGTGAACAAATGGTAACCTCCTCCTGGCAACTCGATGATAAGGACGACAGGACAATGTTTGGTAAAGTGGCTTTAATTTAATCAAAGGGTCATTTTTATGTTATATTTGCAGCAAAACAGTTAGAATAAATGACCAGGAATAGTCTGCGACTACTTGAAAAAGGTACCATGTATCTCTTCCTCTCTAGAAGGTCACCCACTTTAATGCAAAAGACACTATTATATTTGTGCCAGTGACACACTTTCTGCAGCTTGTGATGTGTAAGCATATCTCCTCCATACAGTGCCTCAATTCAGCACAGCATTACTGGAGGCTATTTAGAAAAAAGTACGTTCTGCTCACTTCAGGGATAAGTCCCTTTTTGCCTGGCTATATGTATCCTAGAGGAGCATTCCAGACATGAACCAGAGGCCTTCAGTCCTCAATGCTGCAGCTGTTGACCTCTTACCCAGGGAATATTGGTTGCTATTCGGACTGTGGTGCAAAGAATTCAAAGTCAAACAATAGAAAGGTAGTGAATCCACAGGAAACTGCTGTGAGAATATAGGAAAAAGCATGTGCGAAACAAGCTTTCAAATATATATATATATAATTTTATAGTTCATAAGTATTATTTCATAAGTTAGAAAGCATGTATGTAATTTGAATGAGTTCAAATGTAATTCTTTCAAAATTAAAGGACCCTCGGGTTTTGGAAGGACATGGAGTCTCTGGGAAGTTCGGCATCCTTTCTCTCCTGAGAGTCATGGTAACCAGCTCTGAGGCTGTATCCCTGCCAGGTTTTTCCCCCACAAATAATAACATATCTTTAGTTGGGCCTCGTGACTGTGGCGCGTTCCTCCAAGATGAAATAAGATGGCAATTTAACACGGCAGGATTGTGCTTTGGGGTTTGACGAATGCCAAGTATTGGATTTCATTCCGAGCCCTGTTAATATGTGGGAATGTTGGGGAGCCTTTGGAATGTGGTGTGGTCCACTTTCCTCCCAGTCCCAATATTAATAGCAAGTGCCCCAGTCCATTTGATGGGCAGAGATCCACCCGATGCCCTGTGGAGAACTGGGTCAGCAGTGTTCAACCTTCACCCAGCACCAAGTTTAACATTGTTGCTGCTAGAGTCACATTCTGTATTTGGATGGCATAATTCTTCTTTTGTAGGTCATGTTTAAGATGCAGCAGCTAGTAAAGGTCTTTAAAGATGTTTCTCAAGGAAAAGCAAAAACTACCTTTTCAGAAAACCACTACCGATTTCCTGACTTGACTTTGCTTCCTTTAAAGATCTTGTGTCTCATCTGGTTCTTGGCTTGAATCAAGGCATCCAGTATGTGTAGAATATTCGCCTGAGTGTGGCAGGGCAGCTGTTGTTTCAAACTTCAAGATTTTGTTTTGCTTAAAGCATCAAAATCACAAGAACCACTGGATCGACTTCCCCGGTTGCTGTTTCATGTGGTCTGTCCCAATAATGAGTGTTCCCTCCAGCAGGAAATGACTTCTTTTTTTTTTTTTTTTTTTATGAAATAGCTTTTAATGAAACCCCTGGAGAATTGAAGAAAATGTCCTCCCCTCTTTTTCCAGAGGTTTTAGTTGAAGCATTTCAGTTTAATGGGTGAGCTGGGCTACCAGTCTTGTATTTTTGGTGATGTTGCAGCCAGTTAGACCTGTGAGGATACTCAAGTGACAGTGGTAGAAGACTTTGTAATCTAAGAACACAGTACATAATTTTTAAATCCATCCATGTAGAAGTTTGGGTCATCTTCATTTACATGTTGGTAGATTGATGAAGAAAAAATGTTCATGTAATAATTTGGTGACAGCAATGTTCAAATGTATTTAATTTGATTTTGGAATACATTTATATTATCTTGCTGTGTATCTTACACTGTAAAAACTTTGTAAGACGTTGCATTTGGATACCCATCCATGCATATGGTAGTGTCATCTGTCTGTAGTTTTCAGCAACTAAACAAAATCTGTCTGTGTGAGCTTTCCCCAGTAATGTTGTTGCTTTTATTCATAACAGAGAAGTTATTCAGTTATTCTCCCTGCTGCTAAAATTAAGTAAATACATTTACTTAAACAAAAGTGAAACACACACTCATTATTAGTTTTCAAGTTCTTAAAATAAATACATTTTGTTCTTCCACTTTTCATAGTTACCCAAAAATTACAAGCTGTTTATGTAATCCAGTTATGTGGTTGGATTGCACTGGTGATATGTTGCCCATTGATTTCCAATGGTACTTTTAAAATGTTTGACTGTCCAAAAATATTTCCAAACAGCTGAATGTATTTTAGTTGTGAGTGAAAAGTGATGTTGCCTTCATTTAGAAAGCTGATGGCACAGCTCAGCAACAAGTGGGGGGAAGCAGTGTTTTGCTCTACTCAAAGTTGCATACAGGTGTAGAAAACTTAAGTCAATTTCTCTTTTTATGAATCCCATTCATTTTCTATTTATCTAAAACTTGTATAGGTCAGAATGTCCTGATCCGATCTGTGGTACAGTTAGTATGGGCATCAAAACTAGATTTTGCTGTTGTAAAGGAGTGCAGTAATACGACTTTAGTTTGGAGCTGCTTTTAAAATTATGTAGAGAAACGGCTTTTTGTAATGTCTGCAGTTGCACTTTTATTTTTCAGCAGTATCAGAGCCTTATTTAATCCGGTTGACTCTACAAGACACTTATTGTGAAGGTTGCATACTTGTTGAGATTCATCCAGCTCACATAAAGGCTCTATTGAAGCAACACACTAGAACTGGATTTTTTCCTTCCTGGATTCTTTTCTGGGGTGCCGTGGACTATCACAACATTAAATGTAGCATAGTTTACAGTTTTAAATTTTGCACTGCAGAAAAGAAAGGATTGCCACATTATCCGTCTGGATTCTCCTCATTGGTGAGATTCTTCCTTTGCTCTTTAAATGGGAATTGTACAAATGTGTGACAATTCTCATATGAAATTACTCTTTCTTTGGCTGTTTTTTAATGGAACAAAATGGATCAAAAATCTAGTAAAACTACATTTGCCTTCGAGCAATTATGGAAATGATTAGGTTATGCTAACAATTGAAGCCATTAAAAATAATTATAATGTCATCTGATACAAATGATAGTACTTTGTGTTTTCATACTTATGTTGCCTGCTTTACATTCTAGTCTTAAGTCTTTGACTTGGCTCTAAACCCCCTTCACATTGTTCTGCAGCTAATGTTTAGCCTTGGTAGACGACTCGGTACATGAAGAAAGGCTGGAGCATC